TTTTAATAATAAAAAATAAAAATATTTTAACAAATATACTTATTTGTTTTTAAACATGTCATTATTAGTCATTTAATGTTAAATAACAACCGCTAACCATTGTATAACCAAACAGTTATATTTATCGAATCTACTATTTACTATCCACTACCCACTTTTCACTATTCGCCATCCGCATCCGCTATCCTCCACCCGCCACCCACTACCCGCTACCGCTATCTGCTATCCGCTATCCGTTGAATTTTAACTGCTGTACCAAACAAGCCCTTCATATCTTCAAGATTACCATTGTTTTTCTACACTTACCTCTTTACATGAACCTTAGTCCTACAAGGAAGCTTTTTTAGATCCTCTATCGTAGCAAGCTATGAAAGAGGAATTACAGGCTTTGGAAAAGACAGTACTTGGGATTTGGTTATTTTCCTACTAATAAAACTCTTATTGGATGCAAGTGGGTATATAAGATCAACACTTGTTCTGATGGATTTGTGGAGCGCTATAAAGTACGTCTGATGGCAAAGGGTTTTACACAAGAATATGGCATTGACTATGAGGAGACTTTTTCTCCTGTTGCTCGTCTTACCATAGTGCACAATTTACTAGTTATTGCTGTTGTACGAAAATGGAAGTTGTTTTAGATGGATGTGAAGAATGCCTTTCCTAATGGTGATTTGGAAGACGAGGTTTATATGAAACCGCCTCCTGGACTTACTCACCCTCCGAATAAGGTATGTCGATTGCAACGAGCCTTGTATGGCTTAAAGCATTCTCCTTGAGCTTGGTTTGCAAAATTTGGTTCTACTGTAAGTGAGTTTGGTTTCACATCAATTCCACATGATGCTACTTTATTTATCCATAAATCTGCTCAAGGAATGGTTCTCTTACTCACATATGTTGATGATATAATTATCACTGGAGATGATGTTTCAGGGATTGATGAGCTTAAGCAGTTTCTTAGCCACAAATTTAAGATGAAAGACCTTGGCTCTTTGAGTTATTTTTTAGGACTTGAAGTTACATCCTCAGACGATGGCTATCTTCTCTCTCAAGTGAAATATGCATCAGATCTCATATCTAAAGTTGATCTCACTGATAACAAGATTGTCTCCACACCTTTTGAACCGAATGTCAAGCTTACATCATTAGATGGCTCTCCACTCCCTAACCCTACTCGTTATTGACAATTAGTTAGGAGTTTGGTTTATCTTACTATGACACATCTAGACATAGCATATGCAGTTTATGTTGTTAGTCAGTTTATGGCTGCTCCTCGCTCCACTCATTATGCTGTTGTCCTTTATATTATTTGCTATGTTAAGAGAACACTATTTCATGAACTTCACTTCTCAGCTCACTCATCCCTTATAGTTCGTGCGTATTCAGATGCTAATTAGGCTGGTGATCTTACAAATCAAAGATCCACTACTGGCTATTATCTCTTTTTTTATAACTCTCTTATTTCATGGCATGGTAAGAAACAAGCTATTCCATCTTGCTCTAGTGTTGAGATTGAATACAGAGTTTTGGGTGACACCACTTTAGTACTTCTTTCTCTCCGATGGCTCTTGGAGGATATGGGTGTTTTCCAACCATCTTCTATTGATCTTTACTGCGACAATCAAAGTGCTATACAGATTGCTCACAATGATGTTTTTCATGAGTACACAAAACATATTGAGGTCGATTGTCATTTTATTCGATATCATGTTTGATGCACTAAAAGCACCCTAACAAGTATACTAGTCGTTCCAAGTAATATAATGATGAGAAGAGTATTGAACCCATGAGAATTATGTCTAATTAAGTACCAAAATAATTAATCTAAATTTATTTGAACAATAAAAAAGGATAATAAACTTTAATAAAGAAGAATAAACTTTAATAAATAATAAAAAGAAAATAACAATTAAAATAAAGTTAATCAAGATATGAGGTGCTAAGGTATCAATTTCACCATAATCAATCAATATAAATTATGGATTAATATACTTCCAGGACCATTTTATTGAGTGTTATAACATGTGATAACGGATTTTTCTAAATTAATTAATTAACTTTCTCAAGTCAAGTTAATCCTTCACTTATTTGTTAAATTAATCATATCTCTATGTAATATTAAACAAACTAATAAGCATTAAATTCTATAAAACCTTTAGTTTAAGAAAGGGGAGCTCCTAACTTTCTTGCCTTCCTCCACTACTATATATGAACTAATTACCTTTCGGTCTCATGGTCTAACACATGATTTATATTATTATTGGTCTAATTTATGCATTTCTTTCTTAAGTTCATGTATAAATCACTAAATCAATTGAAAGATGATTAAGCTCTCGATGCACTAAACTCAATAATATAATCTCTTTATGCGAATAATTTTAATTGAAAGTATAAAATTATAAAATTTATATTGAATTAATTAGGCTACATAATAGCCATAATAGAATAAATTAGTTCATAGTAAAAATAATAAAACTTGAAATTATAGTTATGAACATTTGAATATCAAACAATAGATAAAAAGAATCAAAGGAAAAATAAAACCTAATTTAAAGAAATTGAACTTTTTGATCTCTTATTATTGATAGATCCTTTATTTTGATTTCCAAGAATGCCCGAAGGAAGGCTGCCACTAGCTTCCATCAACTCTCCCTTAATTCTGAATTTAGATGAGTATTTGTAGAATTTTAAAAACCCTAATTAAAATAGAAATAATACCCACACCCATAATAATCAATTAGAATCGCGTAAGGAGTCAACACCTTCAACAAGGTGCCTACACTTTCTGTTCAGCGCACAATACCATCACCGTGTCGGGTTTTTGGATTTCTTAGCCATTTCTGTAATAGTAAAACAACAGTCCTGGTCCCTGACTTCTGGATTCTGCACAAGTTGATCCTCAAGTTTTTGATCTCTGCAATTTACTCTTAAAAATTATGATTTCTTCCAATTAAATCCTTTTCTATACAAAGAATAAAAATTATGTACAATCAAATAAAATCTTATAAGACTCATCTAAATATCAATAATATCAAGGCAATAATTTCACATTAATATATATAAATTTAGCTCATCAAATGTTGCCAAAGGAACTGTTCACATGGTCTTTATTAGCTCTGTTGATCAGCTAGTGGATCTCTTCACTAAAACTCATTTTCCTCGATACTTCTGCACTCTCCTTTCTAAACTCAAACAAGTCTTCTCATCACCACCTTGAGTTTGATAGAGATGTTATAAAATATTTTCACTTTATTATGTTCACATTGCTATGATTATATTAGTATATTTACATTATAATTGATTGACATAATTAAATTAATTGATTTTGTACCATAAAATATTTTTGTGTAAAAGCCTATATATCAAAGAAGTCAATACCATACCATATCGGTCGGTATGGTCGATACGTACCGGTTTTGAAGATTAACCAAAATGGAATAAGTTAAGATTTCGTTTCGGTCAAATTTTGGGTGTACTGGCAGAAATTTCGAGTACCAGCCGGTACATCAGAATTTGACCAGTACATTATGCAAGAAGGAAAAAAAAAAAAAAAAAAGAATCCCCAGCCAAAACACGTTGTTTTGGCTAGGGGGTGGCGGCAGGATACCCAGGCGGTAACTCGATCAGGCGACGGCAATCCCTTGGAACCAGCAGGAGATCTGTGGTGGGCGTCAGATCTGGCAGCCCTCGTGCACACCACCACAAATCCGCCAGAGGAGAAAGAAGGCCGCCGGATCTGCACCGAACAGAGCAACAAACAGCAAACAAACAAAGCAAACCAACATATAAACAAACGAACCAAAAAAACCCACACAAAACAAAATACAAAGCCAGATCAGCAAGGGGATGGTCAAGATCCGAGGTGAAAGAACGGAGGTGATGGTGATAATGGTGGATCTGCAAAAGGGAGAAAAATCAAGTTTTTTTTTCTGTTTTCTCCTTTTTTTTTTCTTTTGGATTTGGTAGCCGCACCTCCTCCTTCTCCCTTTAAAAGAGAGGAAACTAGGGTTTTGTTAAATTTGGGTTTTGATGGGCTGCTCAATATTGGGCTGGGCTTATGAGTTTGTTTTAGTAAATTTCATCCTCAGCTTTTTAATTTTTTCAATTGAGTCATTTTCTTGTTTTTTTTCTTCAACTTCTCTCCCAAATTTTTCATAAAATTTTTTTATAACGATAAATCCGAAACAGTACGTGAAAAATTTTGGTATCCGGTATGTATCGTTCCAATAACAAAACCGATATGCATGCCGGTACGGTATTGACTACTTTGCTATATATTCAAATGAATCAAGAAAAAGTATGATTTTTCTTCATATTTTTCTCTGCTGCATTGT